AAGAAGTCTTTGGTCATGGAGAAGTTGAGATTATGGTAATGAATGTCCAAGAGATGGGTCAAGTTATGATGTCAAGTGTCATAGGTCATATGTCACGGGTCACATGTCATGTGTCAAAGGACATGTGTCATAGGCCATGTGTCATAGGTCATAGGTCATGGGTAAAAAGTCATGTGACAAAGGTCATATGTCATGGCTCATAGGTCACATAAGTCACGGGGCATATGTCATGTGTCAAAGGACATGTGTCATAGGTCATGTGTCATAGATCATATGTCATGGGTCATGTGACAAAGGTCATGTGTCATGGGTCATAGGTCACATAAGTCACGGGGCATATGTCATGGGTCAGGGAGAATTGTTGGAGAGAGGAATAGTGTTGAGATCACCGGTCATGGGTCAAGGACTGGGTCAAGGTTATGGTCAGAGAAAAGGGTCAAGTGAGGATGTCACATACACACACACACACACACACACACACATGCACACACACTACCAAGCACACCATGCCAACAGTAGCATTTCAATAATATTTATATCAATAATAACAATAGTAACAATAATAATACTAATAATGTAATGATAACAATAATATCAAGGGAAGGACGAGGAGGAGATGACGATGACAATAACAACAACAACAACAGCAACAACAATAACAACTACAACAACAATAGCAACAATAACAAGATCAAGGGAAAGAAAAGAAAATACTGCATCAAAAAGAACAACAATAATATATTGATATTATGCACCCACATACACACTGAACTCAATTTTTTTTAATTTCCCAACATGGGAATCGAACTCACATGGTCTGAGAGTGAAGGCGAAGCACCTTGACCTAACCACTACACCACAGACGACCACAGACGCCAGTGAGTAATCCGAGCGGGGGAGAAGCATGTCACTCGTCTACAGTTTAGTTTTAGTAAAAGTTTTACGGCACTTGCAACAAAATAAGGTCATGTAAGTGCCGAAGATTAGAGGTGTTACAAGAGAGTAACAAACACACAAAAAAAGGAGGGAGGAGAGATCAGAAAGATAGATGTTTGGAAGAAAAGAAGGAGCAAACCTCACAAGAGCACCTGCCAACCACCCACATTGTTTACCGTGACACATACGCTTCTGTAAGCTTTGCCAGTGACTTACTTATGAAGGTTACCTCTGGGGAGGGCATGGAAGAGCTACGTGTACAAATCAAAAAAGATTGTATCTAAAATTTTCAATAATAACATTGTTTCTTTTGCATAGTCTTTTAGAAACAAGCTCCGAGAATCAAACATTGGAGCAGAAAATCCACAAAACACATTGAAAAAACAGACAACGACATCGAGAGAAAAAGACAAAAATAGAAACAAGAGGGTGAGAAAACAAAGAGATGAGACAGTAAAATAGCGACGTAAAGAGACGAGAAAATGAGAAAATGAAACATTGAGACGAGATAACAAAACAAGGAGAAAACATGACATTGAGACAAGATCATGCAATACTGAGGCAGAGAGATAATGACACAACGAAACAATCTAACATCTGAAACACTAAGACAAGAAAACGAAACAATCTAACATCTGAAACACTAAGACAAGAAAACGAAACAATCTAACATCTGAAACACTAAGACAAGAAAACGAAACAATCTGACATCTGAAACAATAAGACAAAAAAACGAAACAATCGGACATCTGAAACAATAAGAACAAAAATCAAGACAAGACAACCAGACAACAATCAACAACAAAAAACAAACCACACTTGCCCGACACGGAAAAGTGGCAAGAATTTCTCACCGAGACTCTGTGGAAAGTGCCGTTCTCCTGAGAACAAGGCATGAAAGAAAAAAAAACAAAAGTATAGGAGACCACCAATGATAGTACCGATATATAACAAGATAATTCACTCCTTTCTTTGAGCCAATTAAAAAAGTGTCCTCAAAATCCGGTGGCGTCCTCTTCAGAAAAGCGCACCCTTTGCGAAAAGAGTTACCCAATTCGTGTGAAAAAAATCAAAGTGAAACTAACAAGTTTTTTGATAAATTAGAATTCAAATTTTGGGAGAACGGAAGAGGCGACTGTTTTCTTCGATTAATTTGACTTTAGAATGAGAGGCGAGAGGTCATTAAAATAAAAAAAAAAAAAAAAACTCCACACTGAACGAACCAGAACAGCTGATGAACAGCAGTCAATCTGCGCACGCAAGGAGGTGCTATTCCTATTCTTCTTCTGGAGAAACGGAAGAGAGCTTCAAAACAAAGACTGTAGCACCATCTGAAGCAAAGAGCGGACTTCCTCGGACACTTTTTTGGCTGAGTGAACCATCTTGTTAAGTACGATCTTTGAGGACACCGCACTGCCAGACACTTCAGTAAGTACTACACAGCGTAATGTACACGGCTACAGAGGTGCCCAGCACAATGTTTGTTAGTTTTAGTACGGTTTTACGGCGCTCGCAACTGCATAAGGTCATATGAGTGCCACAGACACACACAGACACACAATAACACTAGAGGGACATAGCCTTCAATACCACTGATTTTGATCGCAGAACATTACACACAAGTATATGAACACTACACACTCTTGAGAACACGGAACCTGAACATTTAGAATAACACACTTGCAACACACCCACGCACCACGTGTAGATCAACAAAATGTGTGCTACATATCAATGTATATACTATATATATGAATGCAACACATCAATAACAATAAGTATATATTAATGATTTCTCAAAGAGCAGATTGGTAAACAATGGCAAAATGGACAGTGATATATATGTGTCACGGAGCCGTGGAATCAGGCACTTGCCAATTTTTGGGCATGTGGAGTTACTGATATAATCTGAAAGCTTATTCATTTGCCTTGCTTTCTATGCAAAAAACACCCATTTATCCTAAAGAGAAGTCGAAATATTTGCGATTGAAGGAGGTGAGGGTAGCATGGTTTCAAAGGTAAAATTATCGAGAAAATGGCCGCCAAAGTTTGGTAGCTTCTACAGCAAGAGAGTCCTTGAAAACTGAAAATTTACATATTTTGTGCCATTAATTAACGTATTTCAGTCAAATTCATATAGAAATGTGTTTTTAAAAGGACATAAAAGGTGTTGAGTAAGAAAACAAAATGTGATAAAAATTGTCAAACTGGAGGAAAAAATGCCTGTTCGTTCACTTTGATTACTTTGACAAGCACCAGATTCCACCACGATGCCTCACATATATATATAATAAAGGCCAAGATTGAATGATTTCTGTAAGTGTAGATTGGTAAAATAAGCCAGAAATGATCTATCTAATGATTCGCTAAGTGCACATTGATGCAATGTGACAACCAAAATGTCTAAAGATTTCATAAAGAGAACCTTGGTTAAACGTAATAAACATAGCGATACGATTGCTCTCATGCAGATGAAAATACAGTATAATTATTATTATTATTATTTTTATATTATAATATCTGAAGATGTCTGAAAGTGAACACTGGTAAAATAAAATGACATCATGAAAATAGCTAAAGATGTCTAAAGTTGGACATTGGAAAAATATGAAATTACACGATGAAAATGAAAAAATGATGCGTGTGAAAGTTCACATTGGTAAATTATAAAACGACATGATGAATATAACAAATGAAGTCTTAAAGTTGGCATTTGTAAACTATAAAATGGCATGATGAAAATATATCTAAAGATCTGTGAAAGTGTACATAGGCAAAATAGAAAATGGCATGATGAAAGTATCGTAATGTGAATGACGTGATGAAAGTATCTCTAAAGAAGTGTGAAAGTGGATATTGGCAAAACAGAAAATGACAGGTTGAAAATATCTAAAGATGTCTTCAAGTGGATATTGGCAAAATAGAAAATGACATGTTGAAAATCTAAAGATGTCTTCAAGTGGATATTGGCAAAATAGAAAATGACATGTTGAAAATCTAAAGATGTCTTCAAGTGGATATTGGCAAAATAGAAAATGAAATGAGGAATATAACAAATAATGTGTGGAGGTGGGAATTGGTACCAGTGAGTCCAACACACGTACGTGTCTACCACTATCGTCCTTGAAGAACACGGTGACCACTGGCAACACCACAGTATCGTAGCGATGGACAAGTCCACAGTACCGTAGCGATGAACAAGTTAGTTAAAACAGAACGGAACAGTCATGGTGCTTTTGTTTTAGTGGAGGTTTTACGGCGCTCGCAACTGCATAAGGTCATATGAGCGCCAACGTCGTGGTGCACAGTGGCAATAGCTATATAAAAATCACTGGTAGAAAACACGCTACGGGGCTCGAATGTATAATATTCACTAGGCATTTAAAAAATGTGGATGCAAGCCTGAAACGAAACGAAAGAGAAGAGCATTTTTATATCGCTTTATCTTATTTCTCTGTTTTTTCCCCACTGTGATTTGTTAACTATAATTATGCCTTTAACGTCAAACTGTGTATTTATGTATGTACTGATTTGTATTTTGGGGTCAACATACCTGTGTATTGTAACAGTGGATTTTCCTCAGTGAATCAAGCAGTGTGTACTTTTTTAGTATAGGTTTTTATTCATTCTCAATTAAACACGTGTTTGACATACCAAACTTATTTGTCTTTTTTTAAGATACACACTGAGGTTCTCATGCAGATGAAAATAGGCAATATAATAAATGTAATTCAGTATTATGATTATTACTATTATTATCATCATCATTATTATCATTATCGTTATCACTATTATTATTTATCATTATTATCATCACCCCTCACAGTATTGACAGCTGGTGAAAACAGAGGGTCCGTCTCTACAGTCAGCAGATTACTGGGAGAAATATCTCAACATTATCTGTCTGTGTTACCTTACACTTACACAAAGGTCTTACATTATCAGTCCGCGTCACCTTACACAAACCTTACACAAAGGTCTTACATTATCTGTCCGCGTCACCTTACACAAACCTTACACAAAGGTCTTACATTTTCACACAAACTCTGCTGCCTTGAGGGGGGGGGGGGGGGGGGGTGTTGCGGCGGGGGGGCATAGTTCTGTTTCACCACTACCATAGACACATAATCACACTCAACACACCATTGTTTACCATGAAAGTTCGTTCACCACCCCACTAGGAAAGCTCTGTTTATTTACTTGTACAAAGCAGGCAAGATTCCACCACCACCACCCACAAATCAGCCTTCAGCAGCAACATTTCTTTTCATCTCACTAACAATAGCTTTCAACATAAAACATATCCCAACATATAACTAAACGTTTGACCTTTGACACAAATGTTTCATCTTCTAGAACTAACAGTTCAGCTTTCGTCATCAAGCTTCCACTCATGCCATAGTTCCCAAATCTCTCAGGATTCCGCATCCAATTTCGAATCACTTTTCTTTTTCACGAGATCAATTTCTGCATTCTTTCGAACTTCGGCAAAGTCAAAGTCTTTCAGCAGCTTCCCGTTCTCAAACACGACTTGCATAATGTCCTGGGGGAAAAAAACGGAACAACAAAAATCATTTCGTTAAAAACGTAACCAAAACAAAAAAATAAAGCAAAACCCTTTCTACAGTCCACCATGCACAAAAAAAATCTCCGGTACACAGAAATCTTCTCGATGAGTGCGGACTTCTGTGTACATGCTTTTAATACAAAGAATATGTGAAGCATCATGGTGAAATCAGGCGCACGTCAAAATAATGAAATCGAAGAAATCGTCATTTTTCGGCCAGACTGGAATTATTAATTTTTTGGGGGTTAACACCTTGTATGCCCATTCAAAAACATTCTTATGTGTGGATTTTATGAAAAAACGTTGATTAAAGGCATGAAAAATGTAAATTTTCAGTTTCCAAGGACTCCTGAGCTGCTATGGAAGTCACCAAACTTTGGCGGCCATTTTCTCTCTAATTTTACTTCTGAAACCAGGCGACCCTACCTCTTTCAATAGCAAATATCTTGACTTCTATTCAAAATAGATTGATATTATTTAAAGCAAATGTAAGGCAAATAAACAGCCTTTAAAGTGATACCAGTAACTTTATACTATATCCAGAAATTGACAAGTGACTGATTTCACCCCATCACGACACATATACATGTGTTGGAAAAAAATAGGAACCTAAAAATCTGTTCATTGTGTGCATGTTCACTATGTGTGTGTTTCACAGTGGGTGTGTCTGCTATGTGTGTGTTCACTGTGGGTGTGTCAGCTATGTGTGTGTTCCCTAAGTGTGTGTTCACTATGTGTGTGTTTCACAGTGGGTGTGTCTGCTATGTGTGTGTTCACTATGTGTGTGTTTCACAGTGGGTGTGTCTTCTATGTGTGTGTTCACTATGTGTGTGTTTCACTGTCGGTGTGTCTGCTATGTGTGTGTTCACTATGTGAGTGCCACACTGTTCATGATGATGATGATGATGATGATGATGATGATGATGATGATGATGATGATGATGATGATGATGTTGATGATAATGATGAAGATGATGATAATGAAATTCAATTAAACAAATTTTAAACATTTTATATTTATATATTTTGTCTGTAAATCAAGCAAGATTTTGCCTCCTACTCTGATTTTAATATGATGATCATGAAGATGATGATGATAATGACAATAATAATGATGATGATGATGATGATGATGATGATGATGATGGAGATTTTTGTTTGTTTCTTTAATGGACCTGGTGGACTCCATGAAAAAATCTTCGAGCGAGAGCGAGGCTCTTTTTCGGCTCCATTGTCAATGTGCTTAAAGGCACCTCCACTCGTCCAAATAACTCCATTCGAATTGCCATTGATGATGATGATGATGATGATGATGATGATGATGATGATGACAATGATGATGATGATGAAGATGATGATGACAATGATGATGATGATGATGATGATGATGATGATGATGATGATGATGATGATGATGATGATGACAATGATGGTGATGATGACAGAGAATCTCTCCACCACGGTTGATGAGTTACCTTGTTGGGGTCTCCCTTGCCCTCCTCATACGTGACAAACTTCCCATTGTGACACTCCAAGGTCAGGCGGCCCTTCTTGCTCTTCTTGCCGTGGTCCGTCACCGGGTCTTTGAACACACTCACCTGGACACACAAACAGACAAACAGTCTTTGAACACACTCACCTGGACACACAAACAGACAAACAGTCTTTGAACACACTCACCTGGACACACAAACAGACAAACAGTCTTT